CAGGCGCACCATAATGGCGCAAGAGGGGGATGAGCACTTGCAAAGAAATGCTGTCGAAAAAGGACGACAAATCTTGTTTTATGTATTCACGCACTCCTCGGTGCCAGGCCTCAAGCAACCGGACATGACAGTCCGTGGTAGAGACCCCCGGCACCGCTCCAAACACATGCTGCGAAGCCCAAGATGAGGTCCACGGCCTGAGCTGTTTGACGAAGCAACGGGCGCCTGCCCTCCATACCAGCTGGCAGAGGCCGATCGGCCGTGTCTTGTTATCCGCTTTGGGAAGCAGAGCAACCTGCACACAAGCCCAATTGCGTGGGACCTTGTTACAGGAAAGGGCCTGATTCCACACAGCAGCCAGGCCCTCCCAGAACTGGCCCGGCAGCCTCAGCAGCGACGCAGCGTCCCACTGGTCCGGACCGCAGGCCTTGTGGAGCATGCATTTTGTGGCTTTGCGAAGACCTTCTGCCGTGATGGACAGGGAAACCGCCACACCCTCGGGCCGCGGCAAGCTAGCCAAGATGCGCTGCAAAGGCATGCAATCAATGGCTGCAAGCGGGCCCGGAGGCTTGGACGCGGCATGCGCCTCGTCCGCCCTTTTCTTGACCCAAGCCATCTGCTGGACCACGTTGTCCTCAAGCCTGGCTCTCCACTGCTCAAAACTAGCCTGCCGCTCCTGCTGAGCATACTCCTGCAGCAAGTCACCAACCACCTCAACGGCACCTTCCAAGGAGTCAGGCAGGTCAAGGAACGTAGGATGCTCCGCCGCAAGTGGGCTTGCGCTGGTTCAAGCTGGAACTGTTGCAACCGACGGTGCAGCCGACGCAACCCTTCAAGGCCACGCGAGCCTCTCCCTCTGCGACCTGTACGTGGCTGCGACCCCTCAAGGGCAATCGGGGAGGGCTCGACAGCCCGCTTCCCCTGTTCCGGCTCAAGCTCGAAGTCATGCCCTAGCGCAAACTCCGCACTGCTCGACAGGTAATCCCATGCCGCATCCACGTTGCACCTTTGCAGCTCCTCCTGCAACCTTGCTGGATCCAACATGGCAATAAACCTTTCGGCCACCTGCTCAGAGGAGAGCCCTGCATCGAACCGACCTCTTCTAGGAAGCTTGAAGCCCCGAAAATGGGATTGCACATCCAGGTCATAACGGACTGCAACATGAT